TCTATTTCTTCTATTGCTGTGAGTCTGTTGAGATTCTTGACATCCTTTGGTGATAGTCTAAAGAGGGAATGTTTTTCCAAGAATTTGTCCATGTCTTCCAAGTTGTTGAATTCATTGTAGTATAATCCTTCAAATTACTGTGTAATTATCCTTTTGATTTCATTAGGGTCTGTTGTAATGTCCCCTCTTTCATCCCTCATTCTTGCTATTGAAATTTGTTTCCCTCCGTTCTGTGGTTAGGTTTGCCAGCTGTCTGTTGATTCTGTTTATCCTTTCAAAGAACCAACTTTTAGCAGCATTAATATTTTCCATAGTTTTCTTATTTTTCATCTTTTGAATTTCAGCCCTGATTTTTATTATTGCTTTTCTTTTGCTATTAGTTTCTCTTGCTGACTCTGCTGTAGTTGTTGTACATTTTCTGCCAGCATATCAATCGTGAGTCTCTCTTCCTTTTTCAGGTGTTCATGTATTGCTATGAAACTTCCTCTGATAACTACCTTTGCTGTGTCCCATAAGTTTTGGTACATCATGTTTTCATTCTCATTGGTTTCTAGAAATTTCCCAATTTCATCTCTAATCTATGCCAGTAAGCACTCCTTTTGCAATAGTTATTCATTCTTTAATTGTTTACTCTTGTTTGCTTTTGTCTTCCTTTTGTTGATTTCCAGCCTTATGGCACAGTGGTCAGAGAGAGAGGTCTGTATGATATCAATGTGCTTAAGTTTATATAGATTCGTCGTATGCTTCAGCATGTGGTCTATCTTCGAATATGTATCATGCAGGTTTGAAAAGAATGCGAATTTTTTTTTTGTATTTGGATGAAAAGCTCTGTAAATATCAGGGCAAATTATCCAATTGTAGTGTTTAGATCTCTAGCCTCCTTGTTGAATTTCGTTCCCTGTGATCTGTCTTTCTCAGAGAGCGGTGTATTGACGTCACCCACTATAATTGTCAAGGCTGTGATTTCTTTTTTCATCTTGTGGAGTGTTTGATGTATTCAGCGGGTCTCTCATTCAGGGAACATATGTTCACAATGCTTAGTGGTTCTTTGTCTACCATTCCCTTGAGCATTATATAGTGTCCCTCATCTCTTTTTATGGTTTGCACCTTGAGGTCAATTTTATCCGAGATTAGGATTGCAACCCCTGCTTTTTTTGAATTGCCGTTTGCTTGGTAGGCCTTTGATA